TTTTTTTTTTTTATAGAGTTATGATATGTCGTGTGCTAGTGTTATTTTGTACACGAGTCTAAATCCACTATTGTTTCGAACATGAATATTACAAATGTAACCAAGTACGATTAACATACAAGTTATGCATTGAATAACTTTACATCAAACATTATTCGAACAATACTTCAATATTAAGAATTACATTTTACAGAAGTCTTTATAATTTTCTTGCTCAATTTTCACGCACATAATATCACATGCACATTTGATCAAATTCAGTCAGATAGTTTCCTCAGTCTTGCAATCTATATTTTCAAACACAGTACTAAAGTGATAAGTAAGGAACGTTTGTTCAATTATTCTGCAATCGTCACAAATATAAAGAGTAACAGAAATCTACACATTTCGACAAACCGGTACGAACCCTAACCCCTAAATCAAAATAAATACATAACGTTTTTCGCCGGTTGCAATATCCCGCGCAACGGTTGTTCTCTTTCTTCCTTACCCCTCACTACGTCCAATGTCCCATCCCATCCCATCTTGTCTTGTGTGTTTCATCTAGCTGGAAAGTGTAAACGCTACAAAAAAATCGACGTAGGAAACCAAACGATCCGAGTTTTTCGTTCACTGCACGACACTATCGACAAGATATTACGTACGTATCACGGTATATTTTACAATGCATTAATGATAACAACGACGAAACGATACAGTTACAACGATAACTTTGGAAACTTCTTCCGTTGAGGTTGTGTTTCTTGAAGAGATAACCGAAGAAAAGCACGAAAGACGTGACAACATCCCACCCAGAGAGTTCTCGACAAACTGCTGCTCGTGACCAGGTGTCTCCTCTCTTTATTCCTTTTGGGTCCCAAGTACATGAAAGCCCCCAGCTATATAGGTACCCCTTAGGGCCGGTAGTGGGGGCTTATTCTTATTTAACAGCAACGAAGCAGGAACACCAGCAACAACCAGCTTTAAGCTTCCCTCTTTTTCCTTTTCGTGTCTTTTTCCTGATCTCTTTTTATTCTCCGTCTTCCTTTATCCAGTTTCTACCTTTAATTCTCCCAACTTCCTCCCCTTTTTCTTCTCCTGCTTACTATCTCTTTCTCTTTCTCCCTTTCTTTTTCCTTCCGTTACCCTTCTTCTACTTTCTTACCTACCTATCTCTTTCTCCTATTTATTCGAGTGGCTTTATTCTTTCTTTTTACCTTATCTTTCGTCTTCGTCCTTCTTAGGCCACTTTGTGGCGCAGATCTATCGTTAAAGCCCGCCAAAATTGTATCAGCTGTCTTGAATTTTGCTCCGCCTGTCAAGTACATGACGTATACGGTTCTTCTTGTTCTGTCTTTTTGTTAGCTAGGTGTCCTATGGGAAAAAAGGGTCAGTCGAATCTTACAATAGTAAGGCTATTACAATTTGCGCAGTGACACTTCTCGAACACATTTTAAAAATTATTATGTACGATTCATAATAAAAAGTTTAATTTTAAATAAAACGGTCCCATGTTTATTTTAAAAATCATAGCTTATAGTTTATAATATGAAACATTACAAATGATCAAACGTGCCATCGTTAAACGTATACATGTGATTCAAAATATTAATATTGACGATTGAATAGCTTTATTTGTTAACAAAATATTATTTTTTTCTATATTATATATACATTTAATAATTATTTTAATTATAAAGACAAATTGTCTGTCTTAATGTATGAAATGGCAGTGATATTGCATAAACGTTTCTATCAATTATAAGTTAATTCTGAGTTTAATGTACGTACATAATCCAATTACATATACTGATTTGGGATAAAGCAATTTAATTTTTGGCAAGTGATGAAATCAACTGACATATATATTTATTATAAATTAACTGAATTGGATTTAACTTGATCCTGTCGTTTTATCAAAATATAGAAATGCATGATACATATAAACACAAAAGAATCAAAATAGAAGTAAAGATAAATTTGAAAATTAAAATACACGATACACTTAATTTAGTAGGAAGCGCGTACTTTGATGATCGACCGACTTGCTATAAGTTTTCAAATAAGTCGTTATCTTAAATGTTATTGTTTGATTTGACATTGACGTGCATTGATACGTAAAAGAAGAAAGAAGATTGAAAACAGAGAGTGATTGAGAACCACTTGTAGGAGGACAGCTGCCGCAGCGAGCGCATCTGCTGTCGGTTGCGCGGGCACGCGCGCTTACATATCCTTATTCCTATGTGGTACTATACACTCTATATAGATGTACGCGGGTCGAACGCATACGGTACTCCTCTGTTCTCTTTATTTCTACCGTGTTGTTCCATCCTTTTTTCGCTAGTTCTTTCTTTTTCCCTTTCTTTCCTTATTTTTGTCCGAACATTCGCTGTTCCCCCCCTCCGCCCCTCTTTCTTCTCATTCTTTCCTTTTTCCCCTCCTATCTACCTGTGTCCTTCGTTCATTTCAGTTGGTTTTTTTTTCTCACCCTTCAAACTGCGACATCGCAGCATTCGAATCCCGTTTTCAATATACCTTCTAGCAAACGCGTCTTCTCGTTGTATTGGGGGTTGGTGGACCATCGTCTTCCCTTTAATACCATCCAGAGTGAGGATTTATAATCCATGAAAGAGAGGGTCTACTCGTGTTTATGGCATATAGGATGGCTGTCTGATATCGAAAGGCTCGTACACCTAGTTCATAATACTTATGCCAGCAGTAGGGTTTTCTACGCCGTGTAACAGCACACGATGCAGCTTGCCATACAGCCGGTACCTAAGCCGATGGTACCCGAAAATTTTCTTTGTTCTCATTGTTCACAAAATTTTCACTGCACATTTACCACAGCTAAAGTTTCCGTAAAAATTGTCAATTTTCCCTACCCAAAGATTTTTCCATCTGCTTACCTTGTTCCGCACCTATCTCTCTTTTTCTTTCTTTTTCTTTTATCCTTCACAGAAACTCTCACGGGATTTTAAGTTCAGTTCTTTTGTGCCTTTGCATACCTGCTCTCATTGAAACGAACCAATGCGATAGTTATCGACGCTCCGTTTAAATTTCTTTCTAAATTCGTTGATTTTATTTGTTATATTTATTTTCCTAAACGAAAGGAAAATTTG